TGGGGATGGGGGTTGTGTGGCGTTATACACCTCGTAAAGGTCATTTGCTTACTAGTAGTAGCTTCCCCAACTTACTATACAAAAGGGACAGATGCAGATTTGTATATTTGTATTAATATTTGTACTTATTGTGTAATGGAGTGTATTTGGTGGTATTTGAATCTGTTTAACCATGAAGCCTCCGTGGACTAATGGTTATGACGCTCGCCTTGACAGCGAGAGGTCGCAGGTTCGAGTCCCGCCAGAGGCATTTTATTACACAATTTCTTTATTCATTTATTTACAGGACTACATTCGTTGAGAGCTATGCTACACGATGTATTATTATGTCCTTTATTCGAACACCGTATTTACTTTCTTTCATCATTTACGTATATAATTTAACAGTGTTAACGGCTATCTTGATTTATATTACAGCATATGGAATTATTTGTTTCTAGCCGTACTTATTGTGTAATGGAGTGTATTTGGTGGTATTTGAATCTGTTTAACCATGAAGCCTCCGTGGTCTAATGGTTATGACGCTCGCCTTGACAGCGAGAGGTCGCAGGTTCGAGTCCCGCCAGAGGCATAAAAAAGAAAGAAAGAAAAAGAAAAAATGATAGCCCAGAATGCCTTAAATGTTATTTTCAGGCGTCTAGAACACAAAAATGTCGCGGGGGCATTCCCCCGGACCCCCTAGGAGTGTGTTGTCTCGATCGGCCCAACTTTCGGCCCTCCCTTTTGGATATCTCTGCATCCGCCCCTGGAATACTCTGCCTGGCCTCTCTTATAAGTCTGTGCCTATATATTATTGGATGATATATTATTATTACTTTTATCATTAAAATTATCAACATTTACTAAATCTTCTTAAAGTCCTCTCTTTATCACCATCATCACTATTTTCGTCGAGTTGATAGAGTTTTAACAGTTTTGTTTTAATCTAAAATGCATGGCACATTAATGTTATACACAATAAAACAAAAACGTTCTCGATTAATTTAAACAACCTCGAACATGTAATCTTAAAATGAATGACTCACCTGTTATAATATTTGCTTTAGACGATGTGGTACCATATTGTATTTCGAGCAACTTAGGCATAAAATACACGAACCCTGTAACAATGGATAATTCCAATGAGGCTACTACGTTAACCAGCATATATGTGGGATTGGTAAAAAGACGTTTCAACGCTTGCAGGAATTCTATGTATAAAAAGGAAAAAGAATGTTTAAAAGTTCTAATGCTCTTATAATGTAACTAAATGCAATACACACGACAGCGTGACACAGAATGCATGTCAGATGCCCAATAGTGTATCTGGAGTATTGACAAGGAGTTTGAGGAGGTCAGTGTTAGGGGGAGGGGGAAAGTGTTAAGACGAAGTAGCTGCTTAGACTTTTAACTAGACCTACACTTTAAAAAAAAAAAAGAACCAGTAAAAATGTGCCCAGGGGAGAAGGGAGACGTAGCACCTCTGTTTGACAAAAACGGCGATCCCCTTGACCCCTGTGTCCCTGTTTTCCCAGTCCTGGGTCCTGGAAATAGGCTATATTATTATCATGGTGGGGGGGGGGGGGGAGGGAGTAGGCATAGGCCTATGGATGTTTTCAGTAAAAAGAAAATTGAAAGTTTTTACACAGACACTGTACTGAGATTCGAGCAGCAACAAAAAACAATTTAAGCGATACACTCCGGGCTCGTGCGTAACCAGGTTCATGGAAGGGGAGTTTTCTATGATTCGACATCGGATGTTCACGCATTTGGTTCTGGTTCTGGCATTTGTGAATAGGCCTACATAAACCACTTCGACTGAGGCTTACTTTACCTCTAGCCCTTTTGGTTCACTGTTACAACCCTAGGGCCTATTCAATATTTGGTTATGTACTTATTACACAAGGAAAAGCCATTATTCTTTCTAAATGTTCATAAATAACTTATTAAAAACAAATGGATCAAATATCATACACTACCGTTGTATAATGTGCATTTGGTAGGCCAACTTAATACAGGTATAATGAAACAGAAACTAGTTAAAACCAGAAATAAGCTTAATCTAAATTCAGTGGCGTCACGTAGACGTGGGGCCCTGAGCAAGACAAACAGAGGCCCATGTGGTGACGAGTTACTGTATTGAAAGCGTGAAACAAACAATCGCAACATTATGCTGGGCCCAGGGTCCACGTAGGGTTCCAGTCAAGAGTCTAGTAGGGGTAAATCCAATGGCACGGATGACGAGCGGATTTCCCTTTATTTATTTATTATTATAAAGGTTATTTCATTTTATTTTAATTTTCTTTTTTTTAAACGTTTGTTTTATATATATATATATATAT